AGTTAGCCTGCTTTGGAATAATGAGTAGGAGAAGGAGAGGAGAGGAGAATCAGGTCTCATCTTGCCATGTGACTGCTGTAATGCCAGAATTAAAGTGAAAAATATTTTTGCATCAAAATACCTGTATTATAATAGCAAGACTGAGAATGCATTGGTGGGTTTTGCCTGTCAATGAAAAGGTGCACTACAGTAACAGGGTGGGAGCAAGACAGACATGCCGCTGTCTAATAAGTACTGGCCAAATACACTTTTATCCTGTTAAAATTTAACTTTATAGCCTTGTGTGGTAAAGTCCTTAGAATTGTAACCAAAACAAAGTAGGGAGAGTTGAGCTGAATTCTCAGGTAAAATCAGTTTGAGTTTAAATCCACTGCTTGGGTTAATCATCAAAATTGCAGAATCTAGATTTTTTTTTTTTTTGGGTGTGTTTTAATTTCATGCTTTCATTTAGATCAGGGGTAGGCAACCTTTCCCCTTTAAGGGCCGAGGGACTTCAGCTCCCAGAAGCCTCAGCCATGCTGGCCAATAGTCCCATGTTGGCCAATAGCTCCTTGGATTCTGGGAGCTGAAGTCCCTCGGCCCTTAAAGGGGAAAGGTTACCTACCCCAGATTTAGATTATGTATTCTTCCAATTTAAGGAGAAAAACCCCATACACACAGACGCACAGATAGACATCCAGTTATCATTCTGTTGTTTACCTAAGGCTGAGTACAAACCTTATGTACCAATAACAGCAACTCGTGTACCCGGTTGCCTTAAGTACATACAGAATGGCATTCAGAAAATTCTATTTACTGCTTTAGGCTGTCTGTGTAGCAGGACTCCACCCGCACTCCTCCCTGGTAGCTATCATTTTTATTTTGTTTTTTTAACTAAAAACAGTTTGAGGTATTTATTTGACATGAGATAGATGTGAAATAGGCTGTGCTGCTTATTTCCTGTGCATTATTTGGAAAATGGAATGACCTTTTAAAGCCACTAACAGGCATGCTTCCTTTCTGTGTGCTATGAATAAAAAAACTTTGGGTAGTTTCTTGCTGTTGTTTCCACAAAAATGAAATTTATTTTTCTAAGTATGTGGCTCTTGATGGTTTGTTTCTTTTTTTAAAAAAAATAAATAACATAAAAGCAACTATTTTCAGAAAGGGGTGTATATATGTGTATATATACAAGGATGCCTAGGTAAATCACTTATTAGATATGGTAGCAAAAGAAGCTTCACTTTGAAATGACAATTCAGCTATTGATGCTAAAGGGGAAAGATACTTGGTGTCCTTCATCCAAGTGTACTCATAATTATAAAAATTACAAGACATAACATGATGTAACTAGCAAATTGTACCCTGAGCTAGCATAAAAAGCAGACCTGATTAAACAGCTCTTTTTCTGAACAGCTATTTAATCATATTTCTTTTCATGTTACATGTAATAATAATAATAATAATAATAATAATAATAATAATAATAATAATAATAATTTCGATTAAATAACTGTACAGGGATGACATTTGAGATGATAATGCTGTTCCTTCTATTACCCTGGGTGTTACTAATATGATGTGACAAACTGTTATTTGATACCACGCAAAATCCCATTGGGTTTTTTTCCTCCTCATCAATCTCCTGAGTAATTTGGGGTTTTGATTTTTATGAACTCTGCCTCTGATGTCACTTGTTTTGCCCACTGGTTTTGTCCCTCTGGAGCAAAAATAAAATGAAATAAAATCTGCCCAGATTAATAACAGTGTGTGTACTTTGATTAGTAGCTAGTCAAATGGAAGAGACCAAAAGAATTTCCTGAGCCATTCAAGGACTAAAATAGAGTCTTTATCCAAAATGGAGCTCACAGATCACAAATAGTCTTTTGAGAGCTGAACAGTGGGAATGTGGACATGGCGCATAAATGTAAATATCAAATAAACAAACAAGTGAAATAAAAATGTGATTATTGCAAGACCCTTTGATCCTATGGGAGTTAAGCATGATTAGCCTCCTCTATATTGAGCCCAATAGGTAAACAGTAGGGCTGTTGGAATCAATGAACTTAACAGCACAATTCAGCATACAGCTACCCAGGTTTAAATCTGTTGAGTTCAATGGGGCCTATTTATAGATAAGTGGCCATATGTTTGCTATCTAGTGAGACTATTGAATTCCATGTTGGATTGTGTGTAATCTACAATACGGTTCAACAAGTAAGTTTTCTTAGACAGCAGTATTGCAATTAGGACTGGACTTTGGGGCCAAAATCCAGGGTTCCATATGGGCCTTTGCAGACTGCCAGAAATAGTGCAAATTGAGTCCACTTTAAGGGTTAGGGTTAGTGCTAGGGAATCATGGGAATTGATTTGTTTTGTTTTTTCTGAGACATTGAGCCTTCTCTGTCAGAGAGCTCTGGTGCCACAATAAAATACAGTTCCCATGATTCCCTACCCAGAGCAAACAGGCTCAGCATCAGCACTGGGTACCACATGGTTTTGCCAAGACCAGTAGAGGCTGATGTTCCTCAGCAAAAGATCTCCTTCTTTCCCTTCTTCCCATTTTAATAGGCAAGCATATACATGACCATTTTGATATTAATACTGAGAACCCCCACTATCATTTCTATAATACAGTAATGCTTATTCACAAGGGAATGTGCTTAACGTCAAGAGACCAGAAGCAAACTCCATTTTATTCCTGCAATCAGAATGACGCTCTGGTGTGACTTCAGTGGCTTTAAAGTGAGAAACTATGCAAAATAATCATGTCAGAGCAATAGTATTTTTAAAAATGGTGTTGGTGAACCACCACCACCCCATAATGTAGGAGTGACCAAAGTGAGCCACTTTTGTGGCATCCCAATTTGTTTAGCTTATTTTCTCCTCCCTTGTGGCCAATAGCGACTCCTTGAAGCCTGCAAGGTCATACAGCAGTTTGCATTGATTCTTTTTTAAGCTGCTTTAGGCCCAGAGTTCCCCCCCAAACCCCCCCCCCCCAAAAATGACTACTTGACACTTCCAGTTTTGCAAAATAAATAAATAAATAAATAAATAAAATTTAAAACAAGAACAAGAAAACCCAAGGTCAATTCAGGGCCTCATGCCAAAAACATAGAAATATTATATTGCTTCCCGGAGTGCAAGATGTCTTTTATAGAAGAAAACGGAGGAGGGAGGTGGTGATACAAACATCTGAAGTGTGTGTATGTGTGTGTGCGTGTGAGAGAGAGAATTGTGTGTGTATACATGTGTGCACAGAGAACCAGGAACTCTGGAAGTTGCCCACCTCTCAGCTAACATGCCAAGAATGAAAGGACGTTGAGAAACTGAAGCGTGTCCAA